GACATATGCACCACCTACTTGTAGGCTAGATTCATGGCTCAGTAGGGAAGGCTATGCTGAACATGCAGGATGCCTCGGGCAGTCCTCACCACCACAAATGCCAAGACCAACAAAATTAATAATAATGTAGTAGAAGAAAAGGTGCTTGCATTGCAACAGTAGCAACTCTCTTCACCTCACCACTTGAGGGACAGAGGTCATTTGGATTCACTCCCTAGTATGGTTTCCAATGTCATTAGCTATGAAAGACTATGTGAAAAATAATTCCACCCTTTTAAAATGGGAAATTACCAATGGAAACAGTTATAGAGTGTGCCAAATCTCTCTAATTTAGAAATCACTGAGCAATTGAAAAAGACACATGATTTTATTTACATTGTTAGGAAGAAATTCAGAAATGGAAGTGATTGGGTACGGTAGTTTTGTTTGAGACATAAATACCTTTGAGAGTCACTGAACTGTGAAAAAATACATGCAGTACAAAATACAAGTCATTTGTCATAAAACTAAAGGAAAACCATATTTCTAACAATGCGACTATGGTGGATATGTGCTGCTTTAATTTTTCTCATTTATTCAAAGACAGTTGAGATATGTGCATGAAGTTAAAATAAGCAATGTTTTGACAATATATTGTCACAGTTAAATGTGCTTTGAATTCATTTCTGAATCAGTTTTCACTTTCCAGAATATTAGTACACCATAACTGTGTTTATAGCTGATATCCTTAACTCCTTTTGAGGAGCTAAAATCTTTAGTCTTTCATATTTTCTTTAGGGAAGGTAAAACCAGTTAGAACAATGCACTATAAAATTCTTACCATTGTTGAGTCTTTCATGCTCTTTTTCTCTCTGTTCTAGGTCTTCTGTAGATGTTCCTATACTGTGACATTTAAAGTAATTATTTTAATATGCATATAAAACAGCATGATTTCTAAATTCTTTTTTTGGAGTTCCTAATATATTTTAAATTAGATATTTAGAAATATTGTTTAAAACAGGATCTCCCTATGTAGCCCACGTGGCTTTAGACCCATCATTGGAACATGTTGGCCTTGAAATCACAGAGGTCTCTTGGCCTCCTGCCTCCCAAATTCTAGGATTAAAGGTTGGCCAAAGAGGCATAGTCAAATATCTCTGAATTCAATCTTCAGTAGTTGATTAGTATTATGGACTGCTGTCCTTTCTCATCTTTTCTCATAGAGAAGAATCAGACATAATTTACCTTTTGATTAAAACAGTCCTTTCCCGCCACACCCTAGAGAGCAGTGGTTTTTAAACACAGGTTTTGTTTTGATGGCTCCAGAGCCTCTTTATTTTTGTGCTCAGGGAGTTGGTGCTCTTGTTCCACTCATGTGCTGACGTGACCATAAGGCTCCACAGCCATATATCTGGCATGATTCTTTGGAGGCATTTCATTGATTGCTATACTCTCTACATAAGGGATGTTCAGTATGTCATGAAGTTTTTTTTTTTTGCTTGTATGTGTCCCTCTGCATGCATTCTTGAAAGCCATGACATTTGTGGTACTTTCAAGATGGCTTCAATAGTTCATTTATGGTGAATGCTGAAACCTTAACCTAGTTGTTTCATTGTTCAGTTAGTTTTGTGTGTCATGCTGAGACCACCCCTGTTGACAATCTCCAGGGAATTGTAGGGATCCTTCAACTTTGACCATTATCTTCACTGTCTTTTCACAAATAATGATCCCCAGTCTTATTAAAATCAATGATCTAATGTTACTTTTTCTTTTGCTAAGCATCTGTTATGCTACCAGGCTATGGCCCATACTCTATAAATTAAATTGTTATTAAATATAATATACATAGCATACATGTTCCATAATTGTATTATTATTACTATTTTATGTGTCGATCCCAGTTCCCTCTCCCTCCCTCTCTGCCTCCCTCCCTTCCTCTTACCCTCTTCTCCCCCCCACATGCATCCTGACTACCCTCCCCTCCCATCTAATGTTACTTTTTAATCTCCATATTTAATGTGTGTTCCTGTTCACATGTGTATCTGCATCCTTGACTGCCAGTCCTTTTCTCCTTGGTTGTGAGGCAGATTCTCTTGTTGTTAACAACTGTATAAGCATGCTACCTAAGGTCTAAGTTTCCAGGCAGTCTGGTGGCTCCTTAGGATTAAAGATGCACACTAGCATAGCAGGCCCTTTCTGAGTTCTGAGGAATTGAACTCTGAATTCTTTGGTTTATGTGTTAAGTATCCCCAGGTCCCCAATCATGAAGTCTATGCTATACAATGTCAAAGACACAAACATTTCCCTTGCATGCTTTAAAGGTGATAGTTGTACAATTTCTGTTTATCTTGTACTAAATGAGACATAAATACCTTAAATGGCCTTCATTAGTGAGAAATACAGTTAGGCCAACTAAGAGGATCAGAGGTCTAATTGAAAGTGTTCTGTACTTAGTAGCCTCAGCTCCATGATTAATAGCAATATGCTCATAATAACTACATTAATTTAGCTTCAAAGTCTACTTCTAAACTTGTGGGTTCTAGGGCCCAAGAGATGTCTCAGCAGGTACACTTACTTGTCACACTAGTCTAGAATTTGAGTACCTGGAACTCAAGAAACAGCCAGACACTGCAATGTGTCTATAACCCCATTACTTTTATAGTGAATGGGAGGTTGAGATAGGAAAATTCCAAAGAGGCTCCCCAACGTGCTAGTCTGGAGAAGTGTACAAGTGCCAAACAAAAGTAGAAGCTTTGCTTTAAAACGTTGGAAGACAATATATATCATCACACACTGTTGTCATGAGACGTGGATAGGAATATCAGAGTATACATGTCCTCTGACAGGAAAGCAAGTCCATGCAGATTAGCGATGGTAAAACTATGATCAGAATATATGGAATTTACAAAAGTTATTTTTAATAAAATTAAAGTGTACACACACAGAAACACACACACACACAATTATTTCTTGTAAAAAAAAAAAAAGGTTTTAGTTTTTAGATCATCTGACTATAAAGTGACATAATGGGCAAAAAGAAAAAAATACTTTCCATTTTAATGCTGAACTCATCGTGAACACCAAATGTCCTACTTAGAACTGTTACTACTGTGATGAAACGCCATGATCAAAATCAACTTGGGAATGAAAAGATTAATTTGGCATGTATGTACACATTATAGTCCCTCAGTGAAGGAAGTCAGCAAAAACTCTATCTGTTGACCATAGTATATTACAGAAACATATAAAAAACAGAATGAAAAATAGACTTCACTAAAATTATTATAAATTTCACTATCAAAAATAAACTTAACACTTTTCATAGTAAACATGATTAATGCAAATTTGCTTTAAATGGAAAATCAGCAATAAAATCAGTTTGCGAATGGCAAACTGTTGTTTTTAAATGGGAAGCTCAGCCCTGGTACACACTGTTCTTTTGTTTTGGTTGGAACAATCCCTTTTCCTGCTCACACTCCCTGTGTGCTGGGCTCTCTCAATATGTGCTTCTGAGTTGAACCAGTCTTCCTCCTATCATGTTAGTAGCCCTTCTTAAGCAAATGTCACGCTCAGAAACAGCACTAAGATTGTAACAAAGAAGAAACAGTACCTCTTTGACTTAACCTCCGAATGTATATTAGCACCGTTCTGAATTAAAAATTCTGCCATCTCGTGTTGGTTTTCATATAATGCAAGCTTGTATGGTGTCAAGCCATACTGCAAAGAAAAAAGAATTATTTTATAATTCTCAAATTTCTTTCTCAAAAGAAAAATTATCACAGGTTTTGTCAGCAACAGGATAGGCTTTCCTTCTGTCCTTGCTACAGTTTCACACACACATAGCCTCCCCCTTCCCTTTGACACACCTTTCCCCTGTTAAACATCACCTATGAATACCAATCCTCTCCAGAGCTCTCCACAAACAATCCCTGGTTCCAAGCTTCTTAGCTCCATAGAGATGGGCCTCCATTGCCCCAAGCCTAAAACATGGAGTGTAGGTGTGCTGTGCCTCTGTTGAATGAGAGAGCTCAAGTGGCATCTCTGGAGAGTTTCTCAATCTGTTTTTCAAAACTTTCTTCCCTATACCAAGAATTATTATCTCCCAAACTTAACATTTCCTACTGTAGTGGTCCAAGGATCTGTTGGAGAAAGCCCCCAGACTCAAATAGTATGTGCACACAAAGAACCTTTATTCTGCAGAAATGGACAGTGTGCAGGGGTCAATCGGTCATCTAAAATAGTGATGAGGATCCGGATAAGGCACACAGGCCTTCCTAAAGAGACTTGGGGAATTCTAAGCATCTTTGTTTTAATTGGGCAGTCAGGCAGGGAACAGGTATATTGGGCACATGTTGATGGGACAAAGCTAGCAACAGTTTCCTCCATTGTGTTCAATAGGAGCCAGATACTGCATCTCTGGGTATCCCAGCCTTATTAAGGACAGGTTGAGAACTGCTTTGAGTATTGGATAAACTTGACTCAGGGGCCTTCATGGACTCAAGCTTATGCCATTTATTACAATGGAGTTGTTCCTTGTTTAAGATGGTGTCACATTTTGGACCTTTCACTATGTACCTAGAAAGTTTGGAACAGTTAAATAAAAACTATCCTCCTCAATGATCAAATTTGCAAATTTGCCTGAGTGCCTGTGACCTTTCTCGTTTTCCACTCTAGCCTCACCTCTGAGAGACAAATCACATCACTATCTTATTTACAACAGATGTCTGTTCCTTCTACAGACATTTTCTTACAATTAATTCATTTTTTTGTTTCTGTGTAGGTGAAGTGTACTATGGGCATGAATCCGTCATTTGCTTAATTTTAAAATGAAACCCAATTCTGAAACAAAATATGCAGTGATGTGATACTTTAAACTACCTACAAAACTATGAATAGTATTACGTGGAGAAAATGTTTTACACTGACAGATTTAGTGAGACCACTTGAGATTTGGAATGTGGAAAGTGGATCTGATTGTTATCGCTGGAAATACAATGGGAATGAAGTTGACTGATCTTTACCTCTGTTTTGCCTTCAATATCTACATTGTATTCAAGAAGTTTGCTGACAATTGTTGTGTTACCCCTGCAAACAGCATGGTGCAGGGCTGTATTCCCACTGAGATCATTCACATGTGGATCAGCTCCCTGTGTCAGTAATATAGAAACACACTCCACATTGTCTCTCTGGGTAGCCTGTGGGTATAGTATAAAAAAAAAAAACATGTTCAATTCAAGAAAGTCAGGATCAACATTCTTACAATTGCATTGAGTAGTTCACCTTAGATCAGACAAAATGTTTAGGTTATACATACTGTCCTACTCTTTTTGAGACTGGGTCTTCTTAAGAAACCCAAGCTTGCCTAAATTCATAATATCACCATCAAACTTTGAAAATGGTAGAAGTTCAGTGTTATGCCACCACACCTAGACATTAAATAATTTCACCAGCAGTGGTTGGTTGTTGTTGTAGTGGATTAGGTTGTTCACTTGTTTTGATAACTTGACTCAGACTGAAGACACCTGGAAAATTGGATTCTCACGTGAATAATTGGCTCTATCAAACTGGACTCTGGGGAGGTCTGTGGAGCCTTCTCTTATTTGAGTTGACATGGGAGGGTACAGCTTCCTGGAGGTGCTGGCATGACTCGGCAGGCAAGTGGTCCAGAGTAGCATAGAAAATCCATGGAAAAGCAGCACCATGGTCTCTGCTTGAGTTCTTGCCTCTGGTTCCTGATTTGAGCCCCTGCCTTGGTTTCCTTTCATGATGGACTGTTATGTGGAATTATAGGGCTAATAATCATTCTATTTCCTGAGTCGGTTTTGGTCGATATTTGACCACAGCCACAAAAACCAAACAAGGACCAGATCTAATCCATTTCATACCCAAACTGTTGACAGATACCTACCTTAATCAAGGGGGTACAGCCTTCATCATCAGGGATATTAATATTGGCTCTGTAGGATAACAACAATCTTACGACATCTGGGTGATTGTGGGCACAGGCATAATGTAGGGACGTTCTGCAAATTAAGAGAACAATTTAGGAAATTATGGATTACTGTGCAAAGGCACATTTAACTATAATTCTAGATAGCAAAGTTCTTTTGCTTCTGATGTAAGAGAAGTAACTTTAATTTTCATATTCGCATATTTCTACACTCAAGGGTTCATTTGCTCTGCTGGGGATATAGTGCATGGCTGCACAATTCAAGGCAGGTGCTCTGTCACAAGCTTCTTCCTTCCTCAGAACAGCCTGTCTAGAGAACAGAAGACCACCAGATAGATTGAACTCAGCTTCGTTTGAAACCTATTCTAATCGCTGTTAATAGTTACTACCCAGGCTTCCTGTGAGCTCCATAATCAATTTCTCCATCCATAGAATGGGGATTCCACACTAGCTATCTTGCACACTGCTACTGTGATGCCTCAATTTGCATCTTCAAGAGCCTATACACATGTTTCCATCCCGTGAGAGCTCGGTGCTTGGTGGCTACAACAATCATTTGTCTTCCTGTTGATAACAAGCACACTAATTCTACCTACTGTTTGGATGCAAAATTGTTTTAGTAAAATCAGTATACAATATTTTAAAACTATACTCTCTAAGCTGGCCTTGAATTTGGTAATCCTCCCAGTATGTAGGATTACAAGCCAGTGCATCCGGCCTACCTTACACTTTACTTCACATTTTAGCATCACTGACATCTCTGCCATTTTATAATTCATGATATTTTATGACTACAATTTTCAACATTTTTCAACTTTACTCATATAAAAAATAAAAGGTTAACATTATTCCATTGTGCCTTTCATCAAATGAAAAATGACCCAATTCAGAAACCAATGGCAATTCTTTAGGTCACTTGTATCTATGTAAAGTTTAGCCCTTAAGTTGATGAAAGGTAAGCAGATGTAGAATAGCAATAACAACCAACAAAAATCTAAATCCTCACTCATCAATAATTTGAATTTTTTTCATTTCTCAATCCAAGAAGTAATGTCTTTATATTTGCTGCCCACAGGGGCACAGCCTAGTTCACAGACAACAGAGTGTCCATTGTAATACAGACCCCAAATGGTAGCAAAGCAGACCATATTGCTTAGTCTTATACTTCTCAATGTGTCCATGACCTCTTAGCATAATTGAACAAATCTCTGTATATGTCAATAACCCATGGCATCTTAACTCTCTTGATTTTCAAAGAGATTTGAGGGAAAAAAATACCATGGATTCAATGAGCATGGTTCCTTTTATTCAACATTAAATTTATAGAATGCAAGGAATGTTGACTGGAGAGACAAACAGAAAGGTTTTCAGAATGTGAGGATCTGGAGTAATAGTAGAATATGTTCTGCTGTACAGTAGACAGCTCAGTCACATGTGGGGAATGAAAGGAGTGATAGAATGGATAAGCATAGTTGGAAAATTCAATGATGTCAAAGAATGTATTTGTTAAGCAAAGAATATATTGAAAAAAATTTACTGTTTTATTATTTCAGGAATAATAAATTAGAAGAATAAGTAATCCTCCCGAACTACAGAAATGACCAAGAAGCTTGTGAGTTATGGAAAATGTACTGTTGGGTGTCATTGTTTTCTCTTTATAACCTAGTGTGAAATCAGAAATGAATGAGAAGAAAGGGGCTGGGGTCATAGGTAAAGCTCAGTTGCTTATAGACTTGGCCTGAATGCTGGGAACCTGAGTTCAGAGTACCCAGCACCTTCAAAGAGTTCTGCTGGGGAGGTGGATACAGGAGGATCCCCAAAGCTTGCTTGCCTGCAAGTCTAGATGATATAAGTGCACCCCAAAACAAAAAATCAAACACAGTGAGAATTCCTTTGTGAGAATCTGTCTCAAAACCTGAGGTTAGGGAACACATGACGGTTCTACATGTGGAGGAAGCTGCCCGAAGAGCAAATAACCTGAGATCAACCCCCAGAACACACAATGTGGCAGAACACAACTGTCAATTCTAATTCTCTTTTGACCTTCACACATACCTGCACATGTGTGTGGCACATGTGCACACATATATGACTTTGTAAAGGAGATGCAAAGCAACTGAAGAAAAGAATGTCAATCGCTAGCCTTCACATATGTTGCAATGCATACACAGCATGTATTCAAGGAGGACAGGGGCAAAGTCTTAGTTCCAGTGGAAAATTTCCTAATAGATATTTTCATTATAGAAATTCCCTATAGAAATATAAGGTTTCTTTGAGACATTCTTTTGTGCCTTAACATTGACATAGTATATGAAAACATATTTCATGCTTTGGATATAACAGCCGGGCTATGTCTAACCCTGAGGTCTAACCCTAAGCTGAACCCTGGGTCTAACCCTAATGCTAACCTTAAACCAAATCCTAACCCTAACACTGGTATCGAACCCTGAGTCTAACCCTCCTGGGTCTAAACCTAACCTAACCCCAATGCTAACCCTAACACTGAGGTCTATTCCTGGGTCTAACCTTAACTCTAACCCTAAAAACACATACATTAGGGGCTGGGAAGATGGCTTGGCATTTAGTAGCTCTAGTTATTCTTGTAAGAGACCAGGGTTTGATTTCCTGTACCCACGTGGCAGATCACAACTATCCATAGCTCCAGTTCTGGAAGATCCAACATCCTCTTCTGATGCTTGTGGTACATTCAAAATACATGCAGGCAAAACACTCACATACATGAATCTCAAAAATTGTAAGTATATACACAAAAAAAATATGTCTATAGTTTTATTAGCTAAATCACTTTAAAGCACCCAATAATGTGCCCTGAGAGACAATTGAAAAGTTGTAAACTAACTGAAATTCTTTGTTTTGCTTTTGTTAAAGAAGGCCAATGAGCTGCCACTCCAAGGTTGCTGCTCCCTGATGCCTAGGAGCTGAAAACAGGCACAAAATTTTCCACAGCTCCATGAAAGAAGAGCCTTAAGCATGACCTCTGCACTCCCTTAGACTGCAACCCTGAAAGGTGTGTTTCTCCCTGGTTGGCACTGAGTGTCCACAACAGTTCCTGCCCCACCTGCCCCTCACCCCTCCTCAGGCCCCATTACCTGTCCCTCCTGTCATATTCATTCACATGGCATCCATGGAAGTTGATGAATCTCTCCACTGAAGCCACATCACCCACGCTGGCCGCCCTTTGCAGTTGCCCCACAGGGTCGTACCCGATTAAGTAGAGGGGAAATGCCTGCCTTTTATTAGACAGGCATCCACGCCTCAGGCACGCTGGCAGCAGGCGGGTGTACCAGCGAGCCCGCTTAGGAGCTTCATAAGTATATGCATCGTAATCGAAATCCTCCTGCATGTTGATCCTCAGGACCCTCCCTGCCTTCCCTGCTCTCCCTGCTTTCTACTTTAGCCACCTGAAGCCTCCCAAACCACACACTAAATATTTGAAACTCGGTTTAGTCTCCCCACTGAGCCACAAGGGCGTCTCTTTAGGACAGGTCCTTGTTTCAGTGTGAGCTGAACTCTGTTTCTTCCTCAGCAACACAGTTGCCGTGGCCTTGTGACATGGTGTGAGCGAACAATGAGGCTCAACCGCTGTCTAACGTGCCTGGGATCTGTGCATGTCCATGTCTGACTCCAGTGTCGAGAGCCCACCATGCTTAGCACACGTTCAAAGCAATGTTAATAGGAATTTTAGAGTACACCTACCTTCATGAACTCAAAAACAGAACACAGAGGGGAGTTTGGAGATGGTTCTGGCCCTTACAGTCAGGAAGCCCTAGGAAAAGCTTCTTAAGCCTGGCTTGATGGTGTTAGGAAAACATTCGTCCTCAGTGAGTGAACCCAGACCCAAAGAGACAAATATTGTGTGTTTTCTCTTAGGAGGTTGCTAGTTCAAACATTCTGATATGAAACCATCAATTGGAATAACTAGTGAGATATTCACTTTGTCTGCTTCGGTGGCCTGACCACGCCCATGGGGGGTGGTGCCATGAGGGGAAGTAACTGGGAGAACTAGGTCTGAGGAGGAGCCCTGGAAGGCTCTGTTGCTGGCAAGAAAGGGAGGGGAGAGCATCCTTGGAACTTGCTGGTGTTCGCCTGTCTAGGTTGTAAGTTATTTCTCCCTGAATAAACATCTATTCTGCCTATTTTTTTTTATCCTTAGGTTTTATCCACAGAGGTTTGGTACCTAATAAGGGGGACCAGGATGGAGGAGAGTATCTCTCAAGGTAGCAGAAATAGTCTATAATGTTATGAAGATTTAAAGGAAATCTATGTTTATATATATGTGTGTATATATGTGTGTGTGTGTGTGTGTGTGTGTGTGTGTGAAGTAAATGTGTTTTTTAAATAATGATGTGTATTGAAATGTAATACACTTATGTAACAAGTTCACTCTTTTAAAGTATGCAATCCAGTAGGAAGCTTTTAGTATGTTCTTAACATTATGGAACCATCACCCTATTTTATTTTTAAAATACTTTTGTTATTTGAGTAGAAATCTTTGATTCCTTAGTAAGCAGATGTAGAATAGCAATAACAACCAACAAAAATCTAAATCCTCACTCAACAATAAGTTGAATTTTATTCATTTCTCAATTCCAAGAAGTAATGTTTGTATATTTTCTGCCCACAGGGACACAGCCTAGTCCTCAGACAACAGACAGAGTGTACATTGTAATACAGACCCCAAATAGTAGCAAAGCAGACCATATTGCTTAGTCTTATACTTCTCAATGTGTCCATGACCTTGTAGCATAATTGAACAAATCTCTGTATAGGTCAATAACCCATGGCATCTTAACTCTCTTGATTTTCAAATAGATTTGAGGGAAAAAAATACCATGGATTCAATGAGCATGGTTCCTTTTATTCAACATTAAATTTATAGAATGCAAGGAATGTTGACTGGAGAGACAAACAGAAAGGTTTTCAGAATGTGAGGAACTGGAGTAATAGTAGAATGTGTTCTGCTGTACAGTAGACAGCTCAGTCACATGTGGGGAATGAAAGTAGTGATAGAATGGATAAGCATAGTTGGAAAATTCAATGATGTCAAAGAATGTATTTGTTAAGCAAAGAATATATTTAAAGAAATTTACTGTTTTATTATTTCAGGAATCTCTAAATTAGAAGAATAAGTAATCCTCCCGAACTACAAAAATGACCAAGAAGCTTGTAGGTTATGGATAATGTACTGTTGGCTGTCATTGTTTTCTCTTTATAACCTAGTGTGAAATCAGAAATGAGTGAGAAGAAAGGGGCTGGGGTCATAGGTAAAGCTCAGTTGCCTATAGACTTGGCCTGAATGCTCGAAACCTGAGTTCAGAGTACCCAGCACCTTGAAAGAGTTCTGCTGGGGAGGTGGATACAGGAGGATCCCCCAAAGCTTGCTTGCCTGCAAGTCTAGATGATATAAGTACACCGCAAAACAAAAAATCAAACACAGTGAGAATTTCTTTGTGAGAATCTGTCTCAAAACCTGCCCTTCTCTGAACAGAACTGAGGAGTGCATGCCAAGAGGGCAGGGAGAGGGAGGGACTTGGAGGACAGGAAGGAGAGAAAATAGTCAGCAGGTTGTTAAAAAAAAGCAACCAGGGAAAAAGTACAAAAGGGGCCTGAAGCAGTGGTGGCAGAGGCCTTTAATCCCGGCACTCTGGAGACAGAGGCAGGCAGATCTGTGAGGCCAGCCTGGTCTACAGTCAGAGTTCCAGGACAGCCAGGACTGTTCACAGAGAATCCTGTCTTGTGTGTGTGTGTGTGTGTGTGTGTGTGTGTGTGTGTGTGTGTGTGTGTGTGTGTGAGTGTGTGTGTCACTGATTGCTAGAGGGACCCTCTCTGTCCTGAGCTCCACTCTGCTTCTGTCAGCAGTGCTGACAAGTCTACCTGACCACTGGAAACTTGGGGTCCCTATGGGGCATGAAGTAGAGATGTCATCGAAGCTCCCACAGCTCCATTCATTCCCTTGAGCTATTCTCCTGAGATGCTCCCAACTGAGCCTACTTCACAAACACACCAAGCCCATATCACCCATGCCTTGTCTCTGTGTTTTCAGACTCCAACAGGTAACTGGAGCTAGCTACTGTGTTGTTTGTGGGCATCAGTTTTGTGACGATTGTGAGAAAAAGAAGAATCCTAGTCATCCTCAGCCAGATGGCACTTAACTTGTGATTTCCTTTTGTCTTGGAGGCAGAGTTTTTTTGGAATCTTAGTTTCCCAAGTATTTATTACTGCATTTTACTCTCTGAGCCCATGTCAGCCTCCAAAGATTTAACATGCTACTGTTTAACAGTGCTGCTGAGTCAGGTGTGCCACTGTTTTACCTCTGTTTTCCCTGGTTTGAGTGTGATTAAGAGGCAGGTGGAGGCTATTTTCCCTGTAATCTAAAGGATGCTCTTTGTACCCAACCCAAACTGAGGGAAACTACAACCAAGACCTCTCCAGCAGTTTCATTTTCCCGGTCATCCCTGGAAGGAACCAGTCTGAATGCATATTTCATTCAGGCAGCGGATTATATGAGAGATATATCATTCTATTTTCTCTAAATTTTACTCTTTCTGAGATAGGGTTTCTCTGTGTAGTCCAGCTGTCCTGGAACTTGCTCTCTAGACCAGTCTGGCCTCCAACTTAAGAGATCTGCCTGCCTCTGCCTCCTGAGTGCAAGGATTAAAGGCATACACCACCACACCTGGCTATTAATTGATATTTATTTTATTTTTTGTACAAGCACTTAGCAGAGTGCAGAGAAGGTCACATGGTTTAGACCACAGCCTAAAAAACCCATGATAGTCAGATAGTTTCATAACCTTTGTGTTATGAAACTGAAGGGACTATGTCCTTTCAAGAGCCACATTGTGGCTACTTACAGCCATGATACTTTCTCTGAATGCTAGGGATATCAATTATACTCATCTTAGGAGGACCCCATGTCCCTCTAGAGCTACCATTAAATGTTTTTTGTTTGGTTGTTTGGTTATCCAAAGAGCAGTCATCATTTCAAAACAGAAAAGTGGAAAATGTTTCTCTGTGTACCCCTGGTTGCCCAGAACTCATTCTGTAGACGTGGCTGGCTGGAACTCACAGAGATCTACCTGCCTCTGCCTCCCAAGCACTAGGATTAAATGCATGTACCACCACACCCAACCTGCTTTTGTATTTACATTGAACAATGACTATATAATGCATGTATAAGATGACTGATAAAAATTGTACAGAGATATAATGATATTTACAGGTCTGCTAACTCCTAATTGTCTTGGTCATGTATTGTAGAATACTATTTTAAGGTGTGTTACATTTGTTTATGCTGTGGAATATCATTTGTTTTAATGATGCAACGATGTGTTGCATTTGTTTAACTCAGTGAAGCTGTGTTATGTTGCCTGTTTAAAACACCTGAATGGTTTAATAAAGAACTGAACGGCCACTAGTTAGTTAGGCTGGAGAACCGATAGGTGGGGCTGTCAGAGAGAATAAATAGGAGGATGAAAAAAGAGGAGAGGAAGACTCCAGGGAACAGCCATGAAGCTATCTAGGAAGCCATGGAGAAAGGAGTAAAGTAAAGATATACAGAAAAAAATAATAATAAAAAAACCCCTAAGTGCACAGAGACAGCTGACCGAAGCTAGTGGTAGCTCATGGCCTGACAGCTGGGGAACCTGCTTGTGACCAAATTAGAGACCCTGTGAATGTGGATAAGAGTTGTGGGACTTGATCTGTCGGCGTGTGTGTGTGTGTGTGTGTGTGTGTGTGTGTGTGTGTGTGTGTGTGTGTGCTGCCAAAGGCACCAGGACCCTATCCCAGGGGCATGAACTGGCTTGTTGGAGCCCATTCCTTGTGGTGGGATACCTTGTTCAACCAGGGTAGAAGGGCTTGGTCCTGCCTCAACTTGGTATTCCCCAAGGAAGGCCTTACCCCTTTTGAGGAGTGGATGGGGAGGGGGTAAGGAGAAGGGGAGGTGGGGATGGTGGAAGGGGTAGGAAGGGGGAACTAGGGTTGGTATGTAAAACGAAAATTAAAAAAAAAAAAAGATGAAAGCCCAGAGCCAAAAGTAGAGGGGCTAATTTAAGTTAAGAAAAGTTGGCTAAGCCAGGCATTGGTGGCACACACCTTTAATCCCAGCACTCAGAAAGCAGAGGCAGGTGGATCTCTGTGAGTTCGAGTTTTAGGCCAGCCTGTTCTACAGAGCTAGTTCCAGGACAGACTGCAAAACAATACAGTGAAACCCTGTATTGAAAAACCAAAAGAAAAAGAAAAAGTTGGCTAGAAACCAGCTAAGCTAAGGTAGGGCATTCATAAGAAAGAATAAGCATCAGTGTATGTGTTTATTTGGAAGCTGGATGGCAGCCCCCCCCA